TTCAAGATTCGCTTACTCTACTATAAATAACCACTCTCGAGTTCAGAAGCAGGACACGAGCAATCTTCACAACCTCTCTCTACAATCTCTCTAAATTTCTTTGTAATATTTTTAAAAAAGTCTTCAAGTCTTATTTTGTATCCCATAAAAATAAAAAAGGTATAATTTCAAAATCTTGCATTTATATTTTGAAAAATCAATAAATTCAAAAGTTTTAAGAAATACTCTGTAAAAATTCTAAACACACTTTATAAATTATTAAGCTAAGAACACATAATATAAGTAAAATGTAAATGGTATCAGACTAAAACGATCTTATAACAGACTTTTAATAAACCAATGCAAACCTTTGCAAAGTTTTCTTAAAAAGTTTTCAAAGCRAAGTTTTCGTGATCCTTTTTAAGTTAAAACTTATTAAGATAGATCTTACCTTTTTTAGAAACACTGTCACTGTTGGTGTTCCAGGCTGCAAGTCCTATGATCAGGCCGTAAGTCCGTTGGCAAGCCGCAGTTGTGTCAACAAGAAAAGGTTAGCGTCTCTCTCAATATGCGTTTAATTTAAAAATTAAATTATGGCATCTTCGTTTAGAAAACTTTTTAGACCAAAGCATGCCTCTACTTCAGCATCTCATACAACAATTAATTCAAGAGAAATTATGACTAAAATAACATCTTTTAATCAAGAAATATCAAAAGACCAATTACCCCATATCAATCCGGACAATATATATCAAATTGYAACTTTTGATTTTAAAACAGCATATTCAATAAAAGAGCACGAACAGACCTTACCACTTCAAAATGAATTTGAAGAAATCAAGCTATTATCATCACTAGTACTTGACAAGAATAAACAAAAAGGATTTAATTATATTCATTTTGGACTTATACAAATTGCTATTAAACKTTTATCTAGAACAGGAATAGACTCACCCATCCTTATGTTACTACGAGATAAAACTCTATTAAAATTTGAGGACTCTTTATTAGGAGCTGTCCAATCAAACTTATGCAACYGAGCAATATATTTTAATTGCGCTCCTAATTATCAAGTAAGTTTACATGATCCAACAATACTCAATACCCTAYTATTAAATGTTCACCTACCTGAAATAAAATTCCAAAATGAAAGACATGGRTATCTATTACTATACCGGATATATTTTAAACAATCAACATCTGAATTTAACCCCAGATGTTTATTACAAGACGATAAAGGAGAAACTACTATTCTAGCGGTACATAGTAAAGATACTCCAACAGCTARCTATACACCTAAGCAATTAAACTGGAATGAGATAACCATTCCGGAACAATGGAAAATCGATATTACTCAACCACCTAGAAACTTTGAGCAGAGAAATATATCAAGAATAATTGAACAAAGAGATGGAAGTATATTACTACAATTCGGATCATTTAGAGAACCAATTCCACCAAGAATTAGCTCATATTATTCCA